GATTTCTGACTGCCTATGTCTCTAGTGATGCTTCGGTTGTACTGCAAGTCTGTAACACCGTTTCTGCTTGCTCCAAATCAGCCATAGTACTCAGGGTTCCATTCAAACAACTCCCAACAACAAACTGCAATGATGTCAAAAATCGTGGTATCCGGTTGCAAGGTAAAGCACCCCTTCAACGGCTCCCAGCATCCGTCCTTCTTCAAGACCTTAGCTGAGCTGCATTTAAATAGCACGTCCATAAAATCCTCCTCCAGCGCACATCGGCGAGATCCCAAACTTGTATCAATTCGACGCCTCCTAAAGTTGACTTTAAGAGGGCAGAGCGTCCTCATTCAATCTTCACAAAAAAATTGGATTTTTGGGACAACTCTTTTAAGTTCCAAATTGATGGCCAAACAGTTCACTCGCACTGTGCATTCACCCCTCTCATCAAAGTGCCAAATCAATTTATCTTCTCTACCATGCATGCTTAACAGGATAGAAGAAATAATCCCTCGGTCAATAGGCCCGAAGTACTTATTTAACTGCTCAGATTCCCACCCTTCACACCGTACCATACTGACGCGACAACTGGAAATTTCGAGGCTCATGCCTCTAAGCTGGAAAAGAAGTTGGCTACGAGCCTGTAAGGTGGAGAAGTGGTTAACGAGGAAGTACGAGCTGCTCTTCAACTTGAAAGTAGAGCTGGAATCTCAAAAGAATAATTCTGCATGTACAGAATTCTGCTTCACAGAATTCTGCCAGACAAGAGACATGGGGCGTGGGCCCCATGTGTTTAAAATATTACAAAAAATCACCCACCCACCCCAGAATGTGTGTATTCTGTAGTGTTTCTGTGAAACACTTTTCTGTAAGTGTAGAGGCTCTCATCTCAAAATGCCTGAAAGAACAAGCCAGCAAAAAGACTGTTCTCCAGGCTCAGAAGGACTTACAAGTCGCCAAAAGAGCTGGCCAGCTGATTGAAGCACACCATGAAGATGTCAAGGAGAACTAAGGGATCAGCATAGTTTGGGAACGAAATGGTTAGCCAGTCTTGAAAAAGTAGCAGCATAAGAAATAGGGGGACTGGAATCTTTCAGATATTTTCGAGCATGGCAGTTCCGTCAAGCTTTCTCAGGGAAGTGATGACAATGTCAATATCGAAGCTCAAGACTCAACACCTCATGCGCAGGGATTGCTACTACTATATCTAGTTTATGCTTAATTGTAGTTCTGAGACTGTGAAACAATGTTTCTTGTGGTAGAATGATAAAATACTAATACACATGCTCAACTAAACTATGAAATTTCGGCTGTATCAAGAGGTATACCACAAAAATAAGAGCTATCTTCTTCAACAAAGAAGCAATAACATGATAATGGGACTTAAGAGCCACACTAACAGAAAAACCCTCAAATGGCCAACTTCAAGATTTAAAGCATTGAACTGAAGTATATAAAAGAAACACGATATATAGTCTCAAAGATTATTAAGTACTATAGTCTCAATCAGTTGTACATATTGGTAATTATTTGACAGTTAATCTGAGTGTTCCAAGTAAATTATACACATCAACATACACAATTTACTGTGTACTATAACAAAGCTTAGCATAACATTCCCTCAGCTACTTTCTGGACAAAATTTCATTGTTCTGTTTTTACTTCCTTGACAATGGCAGAAGAACAATCTTCGTGCTTCACTGCAAGTCCTCCACAGGTTAGGAAGGAGTTCTTCATTTTTTCTTCCCAGGCGATGGGGAGGAGAGGTTTTCAGGGTTGATCCCAGGTTTGAAAGGAGTTGCACACTTTTCGTCCCCGGCGCTCGGGGGGAGGTGAAGGGGGAAGCAGACAGTTTTCTTGCTCCACTGCAGCGCATTCAGGATCCTTCCAAGGTTTGAAGGCTCCTTCCATCTTTTTATTCTGATTCAAAATGAAACAAAAGTTATTCAATTAAAAATGTAATTAAAACTTCCATTGGAGAAATAAGATGCAATAACAAAGAACATAAATGAACTTAGGTAGCAAACACCTCAAAACTCATTTCTGGCACCTTTTTCAGGTTAAGTATAGATGCATTATCAAGGACATTAATTAGAAATGCCGACGCTCAATCATTACGGTAAAGAAGTAATAAAAATGACAAAAATGAGCACACATCCAGGTTTAAGTCCAGAGCTAAAGGTAAAAAATGCCATGGCTGTGGAAAAAGAGGTTATCTCATCACAGATTGTTGCTAGAAAAAGAATGAGTAAAAAGAAAAAGCTACAGAACATAGAAATGTAGCTGAAGTTGTAACAAAGAACCTTGGTGAGGTATATGTTGCCTCATCAAGTAAATATCCATATTAATAATAAAACCAATAGTGGATAATTCGTGGTACAGAAGCAGAATTGGTTTCTTGAAAACAATAAGAAAAATTAATTAAAATAATTTGATTGTACCGTAAAGTGGTTGGAAAATGTACAAAGCATTCGTTATATACAAAATAATTCCCAAATATCACTAATAAAAGGAAACTAATCCAAATCCTAAAGAGAAAGAAAACGAAATCCTTAAAGGAAACAAAATCCTAATCTAAAAGAAAGAAGAACCATATTCTAATCAAAAAACAAAAAGAAATCTTGTTCCACATAAGATTAAAAAAAAAGAAATCATATACTAAATAAGAAACATGAAGAAAAGAGATAAAATTAATCCTATCTGAAATATGATTATCCTACATCACTACCCCTCTCTAAAAAAAACGTCATCAAGTTTGATTGGGAACCAAAAAAAAAAGGAATGAGAAAAATATTCAAAAATTTGTGCCATGTCTTTATTCTCCGCAACTGCATTGAATGATATCAACTTTGCTTTTCTACATTGCTCATCATCTCATTCTTAAGGACACTTTCAGGAAGACGTTCCTTTAGAAAGGATGATTTATTTAATCTCTCATTCTTAAATCCCCTGTGTGCACATATAAACAAAGGAATTTTTGATTCTTCGTGCTTTTCATGTTCTTTTTTTACTCCTAATGACGTCATCTTCCGATGCTATAATTCTTTCACTATTTTCCTCGTGCTTATGCAATTTCACTATTTTCCTCGTGCTTATGCAATTCTCTAGTATTCGGATCTAGAGAATGTCAATGAAACATGTACTCTTAACTTCACAAGTCTTACCTTTGACTCCATCTTGACTTGCGAGTTTAATTTCAATTTCTTTTGCTGGACACTTCTGAACCTCAAACTTATATCAAAGTGTGGCTCGATATTAGGATCTTCAATTGCAATTTCTCCTTGAGTTTTTCATTTTTATCCTTGCACTTACATTAATTGTCAATTTTTTCTTGTAGAATAATAGGTAGGTCTCGGGCTTTCAACTTACAGGTGCTTTTTCATCTCTATTGTAATATCATAGTTGGTAAAATCATGATCAACTTCAATGACATCATTTTTACCTTATCAGCCGTCTTATAAGTCTTGCTCTTTCTTTACACTGGTATTCCAAAATTGTTGATTACATGACAACAAAACAATCTTTTAAACATACCACCAAAACATATGTTATCTCGATCTATGTAAGTTACATCTACATCATAGTACAATGGTTATCCTTAAAGTACATGACAATCGTCAATCTCTACCACATTTAGGGGGTGGACGTGGTTCCATTTGATTTTGGTTCCAAGAGAATCGAACCAAACCATGAACGAATGGTTTTTTTTATAATGGAACCAAATAGATTTTTTTTAAGATGCGGAACCGAACCGAACCGAACCATTTGATGTCTGGTTCTAGTACTATTACTTAAATTTTCAGACTTGCATCATATCTATAAGTTACTAATATATACTTCAATCCTGAGGGGTTGCTCAATTGGTCAGACATTGGGTTTGCTCCCCAATGGTCACCAGTTCGAGTCCCCTCGGGGCCACTGAGGTGAGTATCCGACCGTAAACTTTAGGGTCTCGTTGAATTAGTCGAGGTGCGCGCAAGCTGGCTCGGACATCCACGATTATAAAAAAAAAAAACTAATATATACTTAAATAAAAAATATAAGCATCAAACACTTAGCGAGTTCAAATTATCAATAATCAAGATCATAAAAGTCCAAACTAACAAACAAAATATAAACGAATGAGTCATTGCGAGAAGTTAATAATATCGAGTTCCATTTTCATCTTCCGTCCAATCAATTCCTTTATATGAAGCTGTTAGACCTACATGAGAAAAATGAAAATGAAATATAAAGTTAAAACTCGAAACTAATAGGCAGGGATGGTGAGAAAATGGCCAAGCCAAAAACTTAGCCCCTCACCTAGCTATGTTAACGAGCCGAGCCGAAAAAAAAAAAAAGCTCGGGCTCGGCTCGAGCTTTTTTTGGGCCAGAGCCGAGCCGAGCCCGGCCAAAAAAAATAAGGCTCGGCCCGAGCTTTGGCCCAAGCCTTAGCGGATCGAGCCGGCTCGATTTTTTTATTTATTTTTCTTTCTTAGCTGCCTACAGGCAACTTTTAATTTTTTTTATTAATTACGGGCTCGGGCTGACCCCCCAAAATGGGGCTCGGCCTGAGCCGGGCTTGGCTCGGGCTTCTTCCGGGCAGAGCCCGAGCTTTTTTGCCATCGCTACCCTCACCATCAAATAACCATTAAACGTTTAATACTCTATTACTTGTGTTGTAACTTTGAGAAACTCTACAAACATAATTCAAAATACACAATTAAAACAAACAAACAAAAATTAAAACTATTTACAATTAATAAGATGTATCGTAATAATATTTTATAAAATAAATTTTACCAGATTCAATTTCTTCATAGAACCCAGTCTCCTCAATGCAAAATCAAATTCATACAAAAATAAAATTATAAATTAAGTTTGGTTCTAGAATCAGAACCGAACCAAAACTATAACCAAATGATTTTTTGTTCGAAAAACCAAAACTACTAAATTTTTTTGTAGAACCGAATCAAACTGCTTGGTTTGGTTCAGTTCTGGTTTGGTTTGGTCTGGACATTTTGTCCACCCCTAACCACATTATACAACCTCATCTTTATAGTATTCCACATTTTGAATTCTCTGCTAACTGGAGGAACTTGATAACAAGATGAATATTTTTCCTTTTTTTTTGTATAGGAAAAATGGGTTAGAGATCCACCGAAGTGGGTAACCTTAACCGGATGTGTATGGTAACAGGTTAAGCCCGAAAGCCATTCCTATCGGGGAGATGCCAACCATCTCTCCTTTCTATGAACACAACAAGATGAATATTTTTCGGTCTTCAAATCTAAAGTTTTATCCAATGCTTTGGATACCATGTTCTCACTACTCACAGTTTATTATCACGTAGCATACTTTGTTATTGATAGTACATCGTATTCCAAAAATCTTTCTCGCTTTAGATTGGGCTCCTTATCTCCTCGATATACCTTCGCAGAATCTCTATTAACTCGTGTGTATTCAAACTTAGTTGTACTCTCTAGCCACTTGTAGCTGTATTCTAGGTTTATTGAAGCTAAAAACATTCATAGAAGCCAAAGGTTGCAAATTCTTGCCAGTTGATACTTTAAACATATCTATTGTTCATTCTAGATTTTAAACTAATATTGAAATTTTTTCAATCCTCCGATCATTGTCACAAGGATGCTTACCACTACCACCATAGGTAGCCTTCAACCCATGAAAAACCTTGCTCTAATACCAAATTTGTTGCTAAAGAAAAATTGCTTTCTTGCATACTAGAAGGATTAAAACTTGAAGAGTTTGTAAGAATGGTTTGATTACTTTGAAAAGCATACAATACCTTTATTTATGTGTGTAAATAATTCACTAATCTTGCTAATATAAGCAGACTAATCTAAAATTGTAAAAGGAAAGAAAACCAAAATCTTGAAAGGAAACAAAATCCTAATCTAAAAAATAATAATAATAAAAAAAGAAAAAGAAATTCTATCTAAATAAGAAAAGAAAAAAAAGGAATAGGAAAGAAGACAAAAATGAGATAAAACCAATCATATTTAAAATAGGATTGTCCTACATCAATTCCCGTCTTTGGCATAGGAGATTGACCAGCTAGTATGCAAACCAATATGGCTAAAAGATTTTATGTTTATTATAGATGACTACTCTAAGATGGTTTGGGTCTCTCTTAAAACAGAGTTGGAAAGTTTTAATAGAAAGCTGAACTGGGAATAAAATCAAAGAATTGGAACTGTTAATAGTTTAGAATACTAAAATACAGAATTTGATCAACTCTGTCTATATTATCTCCATTTTCTTTTCATTTTCGGAGTGAAAATAGAGTGGATAGAAGATGTCCAGTGATACAGAGAGAGCACTTATTCGTTGTTGTGAGGCTTTTGTATGTATTGATGCTTCGTACAATTCCCATTAGTTGACGGTGTTCTCTTGGTGTTCAAGGAATGAAACTTGTGTATTGCAACAATCTTGTATTCATTTCTTATTGGGATTTATAGTGCAGAGAGGCAGTAATCCTCTTGAGAAGCCTCAAAGGCACATTAAGCAAGTGCACAACTACCTGCCTAACTGGAAAGACACATCATTGTGTTTGTGTTGATTCAACCCCAACTCTCGCTAATTTTCCTCACATCATCATTACTCCCTTATCTACTAAATAAGAAATAGAATAGGATATATTTAGAGGACTTTATTGTATTTGTATAATTTTCTTTCCAAAATAACTAAGGGTCCGTTTGATTGCAAATGTGAAAAATGGGTGGAAATAAAATATTTTATAGGGAATTAAATTGTCTAGAAATTATTTTACTAGGAATTGTAATTAATTGTGTTTGATTAGTATAATTTTTCACCTGGAAAGTGTTGAAAGTTTGGTATCCGTTTGACTTTGTTTTTCATGAAAATTGTCCATTAAAGTGATAAATTTTTTTACCATTGGATCTAAAATTTGTTCCAAAAAATAAAAAAATTACCATACCGAATACCATTCGTTTGACTTTGTTTTGCATGGAAATTGTCAATAAAAGTGATAAATTTTTTTACCATTGTGTCTAGAATTTTTTTTCAATTGCAAAAACACAAAAAGAAAAAAAAAAGGCTGGAAAACAGAATTCCTACCAAAACCAAAAGAAAAGGAATTCCATGAAAATGAGGAAAAGCTGGCACGTGAGGGAGAAGTGGGAAATAATTTTCCATGCAAAATTTGGTTCACAAACACCATTAAAGTGGGAAAATGGAAAATTTCCTTTGAAAACTAAGGGTATCAAACGGACCCCCTAAGTTGAAGTTAAAAATTTTTTCCATTTTTTTAGTTTTTATTATTTGCAAGTGATTTTTAAGTATACATGACTAATATTTTTGATTATGTTGATTATTAATTTAATCATTGGATGATATTGAAACTTCCCAAGATAATTTCTTCTCTGTTTATATCTATTCTTCTCTATCTTCTGTATAACTTTCTCGCTGCCGTACTTCTGCCTCACCAACTTTCTTAATCAGCTATATATGGTTGTGAGATTGAGAAAGGATTTAACATGTCGCTTGTTGCCTTCTCCATCCATCATATGTCATACTACCAATTAGTAGAATCACAAGATGTAATTTTCACTATAATAGCTTTAAATGAAACAATGGACATAGGAAAAGAAATATTACACTACCTCAAGCCAAAAGAAAAATCCACGTTCCATCAAGTTCTTCTTTCGTTCCTTTTCGAACTTTTTGAGCTTCTCATGAAGATCTGCATACGAACAAGAGTCTCTCAGGCTAGACATGTAAGGAAAAAATCCAACTCAGATAATGCTAGTAAAAAGAGGCATGTTCTTCATCAAAGTAAAGCATATATCATTATTAATAAAACTTCTCCATTCATGAAAATCGGTGTACCGGATAATTTATCAGTTTAGACTTCAAAACTAAGAAACGGGCAACTACATATGCACGTGCATGCATGTAGATTTGTGAGAGAGGGGACCACCAGCACAGAATTCATTATTACCATGCATGAACACGCCTATTTAATGCAGTGAATTAGGGAGTTGGAATAATTTTGCTATTCAAAGTTACCTGTACACTGAAACCTCAATTTGCTATTTCTAATTATCATAACTAACAAATGTATTCTTATATAATTGGAAATAATGTTCCATTTATTTGCTCGAAGCTTATCCAAACCGTGATATCCATGAAACTGACAAATAATTGTCGTGGATACCTTCACTCCTGAAGCCAATTGAAGAACACTATCTGACTCATAGAAACAAGAAATACAAATGTAATTTCCCGCAGAAAAATCAAGAAGTTAAAGAATGTGAAACTGTTAACATTAGCAGCAATGAATCAGTTCAAATGAAGTCAACAATGGCTCGTAATTACAGAAACTGTAGTTTAAACAGGAGTTTTAGCATAGAAAACAAACAATCAAGAATCATGATTTTTACAAAAGTTGTAACTAAGCCTTAACTTCATGCTAACAAATTCGTCACACTGGCCAACTAATGCCCAAGCACGAAAAAATTTTTGTAGTACCGAACAAGAAACTATGCAATCTTCAACTTACCACTTGATTCTTTGCTTCCTTCTGCCTTTTGGGCTTCAATAGCTTGCCGAAGCTCATCGTACTCCTCTTTTTTGTATGGTTCCCTCAGAATATTTATGATTTGTTTTCTGAATTCCGAGTACGCACCTGGATGCTGGACATTATCATTTATCTTTGTAAATAATCTCGTACAACTAATAGATAGTAAACTGTTTCTATAAGATTAGAACATAGAAAAAATATAATGAAAGGGCAGGAGGAGAAACCATACTCGCAGAAAAAACCGTTTGAAATTCTAAAAGGAACTATGCTACTTGTACAATGAATTTGACAATAAGTTTGACAATGTGTGAGTTGGCAGACATTATGTCCATTGATTTGAAAGATTGTTTTTGAATTCAAAAGCAATGATCTATACACCTCATACATTGTCAAAATCATTGTACAAATTCATTGACAAGTAGTTTAATTCTTCTAAAAGAAGGGGGCATACACTTTTGTCTAATTGATTTGAAAGCAAGATGGAGCTAGAGTTTCCTTCCATGCCGAGATTAGCAATTTCTGTGACTTCCAAATCAGAAGAACTCTTGTTATCCACTTTCTTCTGATTATTCTTACTGCCAGCCTGCTCGTGTGCACTTGAAGATTTTACAGTGCTCCTTAAATTTATCTGTGTTCCATGCTGCCTCTCTAAGTTGCTCTTCTTACTAGGACGATCTTGCACATCATGAAGCCGTTGTAACTTACCTTTCTTAGCTCGTGGAGCTTTCCCCTCATGCTGCACCTGATTCTCTGCTGCGCAGTTATCCCCAAGTATAAGCTTCTCATGTAAAAACACATTCTTTTTTCCTGTACAGTTATTTGTTTCTCTTCGAGGATTTGATGTACAGCCATCTTCCGAATTACTGGGTAATTCATATTTTATCACCATGGGTACACCATTATTCTCACCCTCAAGTATATAGTACCTCTCATGGATTTTAATTCTACTCAGAAAAAGCTCATACTGAGGATCATTAACAATACCACTCTCATCCTCATGAACATAATCATGTTTCCCACTTTCTCTCTTATGCGATTCAGATTTTTCAGCATCGTTGAAAGCATCTAGCATAAAGCCCTTGTAATCCTCATCCATATCGGACATTTCCTTGAGTTGTTCTTTATATTCATCCCATCCACTGTATATGTGTTTACCGTCCTTTGTCTTTGATCTCCTAGAAAGCATTAAATCATTTGAAACATCCCATCTACTGATACCCATTTTTACAGATTATCTCAGTAAATCTTCAGAACACTATTGTAATTTCTTCCTTTTTTCCTCACAAAATAAATTTATTACTTTATACACAGTCAGTCATACTGCAAAAATAGAGAATGAAAATCAATTAATAATCAGTTATTTCAAATAATTCTCTAGCAATACAAGAAAAAATATAATGATCTTGAAGATCTTATTTTCACTCAATGATCAACTTCTATAAAACCATTGACATAAATAATCTAAGTTACAGAAAAATTAATTGAAGAATATTAACAGACATTACCACAGAGTTTAAACATGTTCACATTTCATAAATCAATGCATCTGCTACCTATAATGTTTAGAATGGAGAATTTGGAGTAAGTAAAGGTGAAGTAAAATGAAAAAGATGGATTTGGGAATCCAATGGTAGGGATTATTCCATTTGAAGCACTAACAATGACAGCTCGGCTACCGGTAAGGTGAAAAGTATTTACAGATTTTGCTATTTAGGGATGAATCTGGCCTACTGACAAAGATTTTCCTTGAAATGGAATATATATGGTCTTCTCTAATGTCTTTTCTTGTCCTTGTATAATATTGATTTAACAGGCTTTGCAACAGTTTTTGACTTAGGATCTACAACTAACGTAGAAATAAAGGAATAATAATGAATGAATACTAAGTTTATTGTAATTTGGATTCTATTCAATTATTACACGGGCTCGAACGTGCCAGTGGTTGTGCATGCCCACTGGGTGCACCAACATAGGGTTTGTCAACATTGTGTTAAACCTGTATACATATCAGAGCTACAGAGTATAAAATCATCAGCCAGTATCATGAAACTAACAACTCAGTTTATGACAGGCTGCAAGAAGTGAAGGAAATCAACGATACCAAAATCGATGTCAAAGGACTATCAGATTCTGGTATAACTACCATTCCTCGTATATTCATACATATTCCACAGGAGAAAAAATATCAGACATTAAATCAACATTCACATCCTCTAGAATTCCCTTAATAGATCTTTCTAATTATTCATGGATCTTCACATCCAGAAAGCAGGCATGACCCTTAAAGAATAAAAAAAGTAATAAAAACGGAGACTTGAATGTGGAATAAATGTTTCAGATGAAAATGATGCCCAGATTGGAATCATCTCAGCATCACGTCTCTGTCTTCATATATGGACCTATATGAATAAAAAAAAATGACAAAAAAAAAATTCAAGAAAGAGTCTTAATACATCATTGGATCCCCTTCAATTTTGCGCTGAAATTCTCTTTAGGAAAGAAAATTGTAGATGAAATTTTGTACCTCCTTGTCTCTTGATGCCAATTTTTAAATTCCCAAAATCCTGCTGATACAAGGTTTCAAATGGGAAACTTTGATTGGGGGGTTGGAGGGGTGGGGGAACGGCAGCTTATTAAGATATGCTCTTTTAAAATAGGCTGCGGACATGGGCTTGGCCAATAACTTAGCTCCCGTTTGGTGTACATTTTGAAGGTAAGAATACATTTTTACTGTTGATGTGATGGGGAATATGTAGTTGAAAAAGAAGGAAAAGTTATTGATGTGATGAAAAATATTATTTTATTGAAAAATGTGTGGTTGAAAATGAGTAGAAAAATGAGAATGAGAAAAATAATGTGGCTCAAACAGGGGCTNTGAAAAAAATAATGTGGACCAAACAGGGCCTTAATTAAATTTAAGCTCACTCAACTTTACTATAAGTAACTATTTGCTAAAAACTACTCCTGGCTCGTTCAAATTTATACAAAGTCATTCATCCATCACTCATACCATTTCCATCCCTCTCCGTGGACAAAAAATCCATATGGCGGATGGAAAATTGTATGTCATGGTGAAGAGCTTTTAGGTGTGATGATACGGCTTGAAGGGGTGCTGACTTTGGGAATCATAGTCGGCATGCTTTGTGTGATTGAAAATGCTCAATACATCATCAACAAGGCCACCGTGTAACTATCAATTTCTCTCCGTATGTCTACATTTTTTTAAGATCCAATTAGTTTTGTCTTCTTGATTCGATGATTATGATTAATGATATTGATTCTTTCTTCCACAGTTATTTCTCAACAAACGAGAAAGGGTACCCATGCCGATCAAAAAATTCATATGTAGAATCTTTCTTGACCAGACCCTCGACAACTACAGCTCTTCAGTTGGATGGCTATGAATCTGGGGGGCGATAGAATGCAGTGGAAGCTTCGCCGGTGTGGATTCTGTCGAGCATTGTGGTTTGAAATATGGAGAGATAGTAATAAACAAGCCTATTTAGCTGCAGATTGTGAAGAGGATTGCCCACATGGATTTTTTTTGTGATGCGCCACGTGAAATTTTTTGTCCATTTTTTCCTTTTTCTGAACGAGTAATGTTATTCATCCCCATTAATGATAAGCACCAGTTTAGGGAACAATTACATGACATTAAATGATATATTCATTTAAATGTATAGTCATATCATTCATTTAATTAAACTAATGAAACCAACTAGATTGGTGTTCCAGCACTAGTGGTGATCTTTCTGAATTCTGTCGATGCCACGTAGGATTTTTCATCCTCCAAGTGGATTTTTTGTCCACGTGGACGGATGGAAATGTTATGGGTGATGGATAAGTAAATTTGTTTAAATTTGAGAGAGCGACGAGTAACATTTTATATTTTGATGAGCAAGTAGTAACTTAAAGGTAAGTTTAGTGAGCACTAGTTTAATTAACTTTATCGCCAATTAGTGGTTCATTTAGCTGAGAACTTTGTTGAAAAAATCAGGATTTGAACTGACAACTTACGCCTTACCATGACGTTACTCTACCACTTACTTAAAACGGCTTATTTGATTTAATTCCCGAATGAGTCACATACGGTTTAAATGCTAAAAAAAACTAGAAAATACGGTTCCCAAAAATGCAAAGATCAAAATCCATCCCCATGGCTGCAACACCCAAGTTTTCTGAAATTTTTTTCAACTTTTTTNTTTTTATTAAATTTTTTTAAAATTTTTTTTTTTTTTTTTTTGAATATTTAGGACTTAACATCTCAAAATTTCATCATAATTTATATTTAATTTTATGACCATTACGAGCCAAATTGACGCCAAATAGGGTTTTGATAATATTGATGTTCAAAAATAAAAATAAAATTAGATTATTAAATTCAATTCCAGCAATCATCTTTGGCTTTTTTATTTGAACTTGCCCTTTAATGGATGTTCAATCCAACATATGTGGTGCGAAAGTTGGTCATGAATACTTTTAAACGGCACCAAGAACCTACTTGAAGAGTGAAAAATTGAAGTCAAAAAATAAGTCTAAAGAGGTGATGTCATAATGGGAATTAAGAGATAAATTGGATTGTTAAGTCCATATCTAGCTATCATTTTCGGCTTTTTATTTTGAACTTGTTATTCAACTATTTTTCAATTCAAAGGATATGATGCAAAGTCTTCATGAATACATCAAAACCACAAGAACCTCCCTAGACGAGTGAAAAAAGAGTAGCTCATAAATAAGTCGAAAGAGGCGACACCAAATAGGAATTAAAAGATTAAAAAATCAAAAGTTTAAAAGTATGTGATTTTCTTATTTTAAGAGGCTCTTTTGCGCGCGCCCCATATATGGTGCAAAGCGAAGTGAGTTTTAAGAGGTTGTAACTTACTGATAAGCAAGACACACTATATCAAATAAGTAAAATAATAAAATTATTATTATTATTATTATTATTATATGACTTTATAAAAAAAGGTTATGATGAGTGTATTTTACATGTTTATCCGTACTTTTTTACTTGATAAATTATTGTTCATTGAGCAAATATCTATATGATTTAGTATAATTATGTCAATAGTAAGAAAAACTTTGACTTAGATGCAATTAGTGCGAAGAAAGGTGGTCTTAAGCTTAATTGGTCTTTATTGAATCAATTGAAGATTAACTGGATTGCATGAGATCATAATAAAATTAATTTTTAAGAAGACTATAAGACTGTGTTTGATTCACTTTATTTTTCATGGAAAATGTCATTGTCCACCTATATTCCTACTGTTGGAGTATTTGATTTACAATTTTTTCCATGAAAAATATTTTTCAACATTTGATCATGTAATCATATTTTTCTCAAAAAGAAGAAAAATATTTTCTTTAAAGTGGAATGATTTTTATTTTTCAGGTAATTCTCTCTCTCTCTCTCTCTCTCTCTCTCTCTCTCTCTCTCTCTCTCATCTACTCACCAATAAAAAATGAACAAGTATAATATTTTCTAGGTTGAAAACTAAATCAATTAAACACATTTAATTAATTATTTTCATATAAATAAGTTCTAGGCAATGAATTATCTAGAATTTATTTTGTTTTCATGCAAATTCCATGTTCGTAATCAAACGCACCCTAAATATTTTCATAGATCAAACAATCAAATAAGATACTACTATTTATAAGTTTATAAGAGTTAATATATCCTAAACTAAAGGAAAGTAAAACAAAGATCTCACCTAATTTCCTTATTGAAAGGGATTACAAATCACCTAAATACAAGAAATAATATCTTTTAGTACTCAAATTAAAACTAACATATCTTAACAGATCAAAATGAGGTATTGAGATAGCAATCAAAGGAAATTCACAAGTTTCGCGAGTTAAATTTCATATTTGTAAATTGGAGAACTTAATTGCAAACTTTCAGCAATTGCAATGGATCAATTACGGATGATTGTGGAGGATAAAATCAAATTATGAAGATTGAAAGTTGAAGGAACAAAGATGGAAACAAGAAGGGACTCGAGCTAAACAAGAGGAAAATTCAGGACAAAGTTCAACGGGAATCAAATTGGTAGACCTTGCAATCGCAAATGTCCATATTGTGCGATCTCTAGAGGAGTAGTTTTTGTAATTTCAGATGATGTTGAATAATCCAATTAGTGTTTTTCTAATTATATGATGCTTGATTAATCGTATAGATGTTTGGATAACGATGAACCCTATGTTTTAATGTTTTGATAC